TACATCTGCTGGAAGAAGAACTCAAATGGAAACATCTACACAAAAACATTTGCTGGAAGAGGAACTAAAATGGAAATACTAACACATATACATCTGCTGGAAGAGGAACTAAAATGGAAACACAAATACATCTGCCGGAAGAAGAACTCAAATGGAAACACAATTACATCTGCTGGAAGAAGAACTCAAATGGAAACACAAATACATCTGCTGGAAGAAGAACTCAAATGGAAACACAATTACATCTGCTGGAAGAAGAACTCAAATGGAAACACAATTACATCTGCTGGAAGAAGAACTCAAATGGAAACATCTACACAAAAACATTTGCTGGAAGAGGAACTCAAATGGAAACACTTACACAAATACATCTGCTGGAAGAAGAACTCAAATGGAAACATTTACATAAAAAACATCTGCTGGAAGAAGAACTCAAATGGAAACACACAAAAGTCACCTTACAGGAAAGTTCATAAGCATTTACATAATATCAAAATTATGAAGCTTTTTAAACATATTAACAACAAAAAAGGATACTGATGTTAAACTAATCTTTAATAATGTTACTTTAACTGAATCTTGCAAAACTGACTTTGGAAAAGGTCTTAGTTCCTCTGTTCCCCCAACTAAAATTACATATAAAAACATAAACTTATCTATTTACACCCCCTAATAATCCTACTCAAGACTAAGACTAAATTCAAGATTCTTGTGCTTTCATTTTTTCTGAATCATACTTCTTCTCATCATTCTTTCTCCCCTAAAAAGGAATAATTTTCATCTCTAAAGGAGCTTTCTCAGAATCCAAACATAATCATAACATGCCCAGACAAAGGAAAATGAGTTGTGGTATTAGACAAAGCAGACTACTTTAAAAAAATTAATGACATTCTAAGTGACACTACAAAGTTCAAACCCTTTACTTAAGAAAAATTACAGTGCTTCTTTAGGAAGTTAAAAAACAAAATTACTATTACTGATAATCCACTCAATGAATTATACCCTTGCAGACCAAGTATAAAGTATGGCCTCTCTGAGGTTCATAAACAGAAGTATCCATTGTGCTTATTTCCTTTCAGCAGTTGGAACACATAGTTATTAAGTAGACAAATTTCTCATACCTATTCTCAAACCATTAACATTTAACAAATTTATTGTCCTAGGCTCATTCTCATTTATTAGTGAGTTAAAAACCTACATTCTCCATACGTAACTTCTTTATTCACAAATGTTTCACTGAATAAGATAATCAACATTTACTTGGAAAATCTATTTTGAGAGGATTTTCTTGTTTATGGTTGTGGTTTTAGCCAAGGAACAACTCAGATCCTTAATTAACAACTCTAGAAAAACAACCATTTTATATTTAACGGAACTCCACACAAACAAATAGGTGAAGTGGCTATGGGGTCTTCATTAGGACCAATCCTAACTAAGACTTTTCTTTGCCACCATGAATCATCTTGATTGAAAAACTGCTTAGAGAACTTCAAACCAATATTTTACAAATGCTACATCGACAACACTTGACATGATAAAGTTTACTGTCAAGTCAAAGAAAAGAATACTTTATCTTTTCTAGATGGACTAATTACTCAAGATGCCCAAAGTTCTTCAATATCAGTCTGTTAAAATAAAACATCAACAGGACAGCCCACTAAGTTTGACAGATTTATTCCTGTATAATATAAGATCAACCTAGCAACACGTCTACTAACTCGAGCCTTTAAGATTTGTTCAACTTGTTGTATAATACAATCCAAGAAATACTATTGTGTAATGGATACTCTAAGAGAATGACAAAAAAGTTTAACCATGATATTTCTCATCAAAATATTTAAAACTCCCATAAAAACTTTCACAGTTGATAAATGCCCAGTTTCGTTGACCACACCCTATCTAGGACATCAAAGTATCGTACTCCTAAACAATTTAAGTATTTAACAAGAAAGTCCTACCATAGGTGAAACTTATCATTTTTAAACCATCTTTTAGATTAAAAGAACTGGTCAAAACAAAGAATTGTCTAGCTCTCTCTTATTCAATTTTAGACCATTTATTAATATATGGGCGGTGACTGTGAAGCCATCCTATATTGGAAAAACTAAACATTTTTCTGTTTCCATCCATGAGCACATGGAAGAACCACTTAGATCAGGTAACATCCTTATAAGTCCACCAAACTTGACAATCAAAAATCAAAGTTCAGTAACTCACTCAGGATCCAACATTCTTTTGTAACGACAATTCTGATCTTAAACTGTCTATCCATGAAGCAGATCTCTCCTTTTTTAAGTATAACACAATCTTCTTATACAATTTATTTATCTTAAAGCAAGTTTTTGATAAAATCATCTTCTAATTATAAATAGAATGCTTATTTAAAAGGTTAAACATTTTTAATTTTACTTCCTCTACTATATTGATAGTGTTTCTAGAGAGTCAATACTATTAGTTAATTTTTTGCTTCACATGATCAGAATAACCTTTTGATCTTGTACTTTCTATTGTGCCAAATTATCATTATTTTCTTAAGTATGATAATGACCTAAGTAAAATGTCAAAACACTGCATGGCAATATTTATATGTTTATGTATTTATATATAATAATCCTCTTACAAGTTGGAACCACTGAGGTATGATGTTTTTTGTAATTACTTTCATTTAAATTTGAAGAAATATGGACAGGAAATTTAGCATTCTGAAATTCATTATTTATCAAATGTCATTAAAATACTTTTTTCTGGTTGAATTATGAACGTATGAAAAACAATGTTCTGAGATTTAACATCACCTAGTTTAGGGTATATTATTACTAACGTGATTAGCTCACTCACTCACTTGAATTCCTATGTTTTATTAAATACAACAAAAAGAGCAGTTCCCTAAAGTGTGCTTATGTTTTATCAAAATATTTGAATGTTTTTTTAGGAAAATACTGCCACCTTGATAAAACATTGATGCTATTCTAAGTTTTGATTTGAGGAGTTTGTCAAATCCAACATTTTAAATTACTTCTATTGTTCATAAGATAACATTATAACCATTGATCACCTATTAGTTTCCATAGTAAGCAATACAGGAAATAGCAGTGCATATAAGATATTTACACTCTTATTAGGCCACCCTAGCAGTTGATAATTAGTAACAAACATGTATTTCTTACTTAATAAAGAAAAATTTAGATTAGACCACATTATATTTATTAGGATAGGAAAATTATTGATTAAGCAGCAGGGTACACCTAAGGTTGCACTGGCAATCAACAGTTTGCTGACAATTAATACATGTACTTAGCAGTTGACTATAACAATCAGGATTGCTGATTGTGACAAAATCTGTGAAGTTTTCTAATACTTCAATTTCACATCATCATAATTATAGTCTTCAATTCTTCTACACTTTAAAAAGTTATAAAATCTATGTTTAAATCTATGAAGTTAAGACTAAATGAAGAAAGTGATATTTTATAAAATGGCTTTTTTAAAAAATATGCAGGAAGTAAGCTGCATTACTCTTACATAAACATGCAGGTTTTAATACATCAAAAGAGTAAAAATAGTCTAATATTGTCTTATTATTAACGATACATTCAAGAAATGTAAAGATGCTGAGAAGGGGTTAGTATGCCAGTAACTCAAATAGGATAAAAGAAAATCATAAAATTAATGACAAGGAGGTTGAAAGTTTGACAAAGGAGAATATTTCTGTAGAAGATGAAATGGGAACAAGCAAAACCAATAACAATGAAAAACTGAAATCCATTAATAGCTTCAGAAAAAAAGAGATCAATAGGTTGGTAAGCATACATGAGAGAGTAAAAAGAAGGATAAACAAAAGAAATAAGAAATCAAGTAATGTTTTGTGAGGATTTTGACAAACGAGCATGACCTAAGGATTGTAAATAATACATGCTCACATATAAACAAATAAATAAAAAAATTTCAATCCACAGGCTACATCCAGGGCAAAGGCAATGAGGGAGCAGAAGGTTAATGGAATAAAAATTATAACTGAAAATATACTTAGAATGAGAAAACTTCATTACTTTAGCTCACTTTCTTTTGAAAATTAATGAAATAATTTTAATTTAGACTAAAAACCACAAGAATTACTGTGGCACAAGATTACAACTTGTGAAAAATAATAAATTACACCACAACTTTCTTTATTTTATTTGATTATTCAATATTAAGTACACAGCTCAACTTCTCACAATTCTCCAGTTTGCAGTACTATTGCACGAGTGAAGGTTCTATTATGAATGTAATAAATAAAACAGTCTGCAGATGGCTTTTTCTCCCAAAGTTCTCTCAATATATCCATTTTGGTTTCCAAATTAGAGGTATGTAAAAATAGCATTTCATATCTGTCTTTTGTCTCCTACAAATTACTGTCCATTAACTTGTAATAAGTTTCCAACAAAACATTTACTGTGAATATTATCAACCACAAATTATGTAAATTACAGCTTCTGAATTATTTTAGCTTTCTCAAAAAATCTCATTCCAAGTCTTAATTTATTGTTTCAAAAATAGTGATAACATGTTGGATTCTACATTTAATTCAATTAGATGAAAATTGAAGTATAACATTATATATTTTATTAAATTTACCTCAAAAATATTACAACAAAATAAATATTGAAGTATACCACTAATGGTTATCTTCTATGCAAACCATTAATTTTTCTTTTTCTTTTTGTGAGAGACTACTTAAATATTTGATAACACATTACCTATTTCAAAAACAATTCAAAATCACATACATTGGAATAATGTGCTATTATTGCTATTGCATCAGGGATTATCTTCACAAAATGTACAAAATGCTCTCCAATAGAATCTGTCAGGAAAAACTTTATTTGATAGCATATTAGGTCATCAAGAAATTAATGTCGCATTTTGAAACACTTTCATTACCCCCCCCCCCAAAAAAGTACATCACGTATAATAGTTAAACAAACCACCTAAACGTCACGTTAGTGTAGCCTATATAATATGTAAAGTTTAGTATACTGTAATCCCTTATAGTGATGTCACACGATGAGATACACATTCAGCATGTAATGCTGTTTGAATACAAGAAGCAAAACAATGCCTCTATAGCCACAATGAATATTTAAGAAGTTTATGGAAATGTTTTGAACTCTTGTAAGTGTCAATGATGGTTCAGCAAATTTCGTTCAGGTGACTTTAGCCTTAAAAACTGTGATGGCAGGGGCTGATATATTGGAATTGATAGTGATGCTCTGAAGACACTTGTTGAGTCTAACCCAAAGCAACATACTCATGAAATGGCCCTGAAATTGTATATCTCTCATGAAACAATACCTAAACATCTGAGGAATATGGGAAAACTCCATAAAGGAGGTGTGTGGGTGCCTCATGAACTCTCCAATTATCATCGATGTAATGAGCGTGAACCATTTTTGGACAGAATTGTTACCGGTGATGAAAAATGGATTCTCTATGCGAATATTAAATGCCAAAAACAATGGCTCAGTCCTAGACAAAAACCACTTCCGACCCCAAAACCTGGACTCCATCCTCAGAAAGTGATGCTTTGCATTTGGTGGGATATCAAAGGAGTAATTCATTTCAAACTCCTCAATCCACAGCGAACTGCCAATGCAGAGATCTATAGTCAGCAACTGGAACGTTTAAATCAACCCTTTCATCAGAAACGCCCTTCACTCGTCAATCGGAAAGATGTTCTTCTCCACGACAATGCACGTCTGCATGTGGCATGTTTGATGCAACATAAGATTATGGAGTTCTCCCCCATCCACCATATTTTCCAGATATGGCACCATCAGATTACCATCTTAATGGGAAAACGTATGCGAATGTGGAAGAGGACATCGACATGTTTTTTTGTTTGAAAGCCAAGTGATTTCTTTAATCAGGGCATTAACAACCTGATTGTAAGATTGAAAATATCATCAATAAGAATGGAGACTATTTCATTTAATAAATGTTTTGTTTTGATATATAAGCAACATTAATTTCTTGACAACCTAATATATAGCATAATATGTAAATACTGCATATCTTATTCTCCTATAGCATATATATTTCTCTTCCACAAAATGTTTAAGGTTTCCTAAGTTCTAATTTTGGAACATACTAAATTCAGTTGAGTTGTGCTAAATTCAGCCTGAAATGATACTTTTTGTAGCTTTACTGGTAAAGGAACTTAACTGCTGTTTCATGGGACAGCTGCATTTTGTCCTGCTTTATGTTATGTATGGGAGATAAATTTGGGACAGTTACTTCAAACACATTACGTATTTAACACAAAATCCAAAATCACATAAGTTACAATATTGTGCTATTATTGCATTGAGTAACAACTGCTATTGCAGCGTTGATTATCTTCACAAAATACTATCTAAAAGGATCTACCAGAAGAAAACTGTATAATATACGGTTTAGTCTCTTTCAATCCACTTGCAAAGAATCACTGTACTTTCCAGCTACATAACAAATCCACAAGCCTCTTATTTTTGCAAAGATCAGGTAACTGTTTGTAGGTATATCTTATAATTACCACATACTTAGGATAAAATTGTAGGACATAATCATTGTTTCAAATTACAATTATATATATAAAAATGTACATATTAAGATTAAAATGTTTTTGAGTAAGCAAGTGCTTCTCAGATTTTCCATTCAAAACAAAAGTTAATAACTATATTTTGTTAGAGATTATTCACAAGGTACTATATCATTTATTAGTTTTATTTTCCAGTACATCTAGAAATAGTGGGAAAAATACTTTATGTAGCTACAATAACCACTATTCTCCTGTAACATGCATCTGTTTAAGAATCAGTTGTATTGGCAACAATTTTTAAATTGAAAAAAACTATTTGTTTATAACTTTCTTATGTTTATTGTGATACTTACATTTAACATTTCTTTGTTAAAAGCATCACTTTGTGAACCAAGGTACATGAATGGTAGAATCTTTGTGGGCCCCTGATGCATAACTGAAAGACAAGGCTGTGACAAGGATGTTAAAGGTGAACACTTCCAAGTTTTGTCTTCACAAAGATTAGGGTAAGCAGCCTGGAATTCCAGAAAACCACCTGTGTTTGGATAAAAAAAAAAGTTTATCAAATTTAGTTCACACTGCTACACTAAACATTTTCATAAAACCAATATTTATCTCATTATATATACATGCCAATAGATATTCCCAATCCACCCACATAAAGCTCCAAAAATCTATCTTCTGAAAATGCTTGGGTTACTGTTTTTTTAATTATCATTTATCTAGTTGGTTTTTTTTCTTTTTAATAGTGTTTTTCAACTTACAGATAATGGACTAGCTTCTGAACAATATCAAAATTAAATTTTCTTCCAATTTCCTCCTAAACCTACATTTTTCTATTGGCTTGAATAACTATTTGTGAGCAAGTTGATTTTTAGTCATATTCCAGTAAAATTAAATCACAGTTTTTCACTTTTATGAGAACACTGAAACAAGCTCAAAATAATTTCTACCATACAATAAAAATCTTGAACACTCAATTTTTTTTTTGTTGTAACATTTTAAACACAAGTCTTTCATTAATTTTAACATCATGAAGGCTCTGTATGGCAGTTAAGTTTAGAATTAGATTTTTAAGAGACAAACACAGAACATTGCATATATGGTTAACCAATGACAGTAAAAATCATTGTTTACCTTGATATTTTTACAGACCTTGTTATGTATAATTTCACTTAATAATAAAATTCCACTTTTTTATTCTCTAAAGTCATTGTTTTCTGAAATTTATGTAACTCCATTTATTTTACATATGCACATCAAAACTAAACCGTCACTCAAGGTTGTACTGCTGTAAGTGCTGCCAAGCTACAGAGAAGACACTTACTATGCCTGAAATATAATACTGAAATAAAAACCTTTATTTATAGATCTAAAATAATTTTATTGTAAAGTACATTTTTTCTTCCTATTTATTTAAAAAATATTTCTATACAAATAGCAAAAAATTAAGTTCATGCACAATGGAACATCCTTAATGAGGCCAAACATCACACAACACCTCTGATAATTTGGTTCTTTTAACATGTACCGACATTATGTGTTTACCAAACGTTATTACTTAAACTGTTACAGAAGAATACAAGAAATGTGTCTGTGAAAAACAAATATATGTGCACGTACAAAACATTAGAAGGGTCATTGTAAGTCCAACATAGAAAAAATTTCTACATTTTTGAAATTACAGTTGATTCAAAGTTATGTGTCTAGGGTCTATGTAATGATAAAATAAAAAATGATTCAAAAGGCAAACTTGAAGTAAATAATTTTTTCACATATGTTTTTTCATAACTTTATGTAAATTCTCTTTGATATTCATTTGTCTTTGCTAATATATGAACTTTTTTTCATTTTGATAATTTTATTTAATACAAACTTCTGAAAATAGGATTCAACTTTTCTTTCAACAATACAAATCTGAGTTTCTACTC